AGTGGGACAGTTTGAACTTCTTGGGAGATAAGCTTCAAGACTATCCAGGGATAGAAGTTATTTTGTTTTTATTGTTGACATTATTTGACTCATTCATTCCCAGGTCCTACTGCCTCTCCCTCTCTGCTTTCTTCTTATAGATGAAAATTTCTAGACGTTTTGAAACTTAGAGGGCACAGAGCAGGGAGGATAAATTGTAAACATGCTATACTAGTCTAAGTTTTATAAATATTTTCCTTTTTTGTTTAGATTCTAATTATGAGATTTTAATTATAAAAATAAGATATGCTCATTGTAACAAGAAAAACGATTCAAGTATGTATAAGAGACAGTTAATAACTGCTCCCCCATGCTCCTACAGTAACCAATTTTACTGGCCCAATATATCTTTTGCCATACCTTCCTCCAAGCTCACTGGGCTTAGATTATTTAATTTTTAAAAATTCGCTTTGTGGATCGAGGTGCATAAATTATATTTAAGTCAGCTTGGTTTGTTCATAAATTATCATATTTAACATTTTAATTTAAGCACAGTAAACTTCTTAAATTCTTACAGATTTACTCATTTATTTTTAAATCTTTCATTTTTATAGATAACAGAACTCCTAAGCTATGATTTAGAAGCTAAGATTCTACACATCTTTAATCTTTGCCATTTTGTGAAAACAAAATACAATCCTGATGCCTATGAAACTGTCATGTTTTTGTAAACTGAAGAAATGTAGCAAGCTTGTGGCTCTCGTGTCCCTAGTGTATCAAAAAGATGTAAAATGGTATAACCAGAAGAGGAGCTGAGAAAAAAAAAATCTGGTCATAGAATGCAATTTTTATCACAAGAAACTTTGTCTAATCAGTCTCATTTTCTGAGCTATCATTTTACATCCACATTTCTGCTGCTCCTGGTGTTTTATATTTTTAAAACCAATACACATCTGAAATGTGAGTGTTTTCCTGATGGAGATCAGTTTTCTGCTTTTTCAAGGGTTAGAAGATTTCTAAACCGTGACCGATTCCTTTCATGAGCTGGAGGAGATAGAGGAATCTCAAGCAGGCCACAGGGAAGAGGTTGAGGGGCCTGGCCTTACGGAGCTCTGTCTCCGTCTGTGTGGCAGCAGGGATGTGATTGGCTGCTCCCAGGGTGCACTCCTGGACCAAATGCGGAAAGATGTCCTCGTCCTCAGCCTCAATTGAAGGCACCTTTGAAAATCAAGTTCCGAGTCCTGCTTGTTTTGTGTTCTAGGCGTGTGATGGAGCTGCGTGTTCTTGTCACTTATATTTCCGCCTTTGAATCTCGTTTCAAAAGAATCTGCAGTGGCAGGAATTAGTTGACAGCAATTTCTTCCGTGTCTTAATAAATTTCCCTCTATCCTTATTTTTATCCTTACCATAGAGGTACACTCAGTTTCTTTTTATACATTAAAAAATAAAAGACTTGGATTTATCTACTTTGTTTGATACGTTAAGAACTGACCTAACTTCCTAGTCTCACTCAGCAACAATTTTTTTCCGAGGAAACTTATTTTTAACCTTCAGTTTTCTGGATCCGAATCTAAAAGAGGTCCTCATCAAACAGCAAAAGTACACTTCTGGGTACTTGAAGGTCCTCAACCATTTCTTTTTAATGAATGTCTTTGTTCTTTGTAAAATTTCAAAAAATTACTTGTGGCAATCTACATGTGATGTCTCCACTTTATTCTTTTCTTCCTGGTTCCTCTTGACAACAGAAACTGAATGGATTTAGCGTGTTTTATAATTTCTTCTGCTCTTTTCTGGATGTTCTGGAGAGAGGCCACCTTCATGTTGTCATCAAGATGCATACTAAGGCTATGCGCACACGCCCTATTGTAGCCACAAGCCTCCGTGTTACTTGTATTGTGGGTCATCAAAGCAAATGCTTGGCCGTTCATCTTCTAGACTGTACCGTACTGCACAGCTGATATGATCTGCGGGGCATCCTTTTCTCTCATGTTTTGCTGTCTCTCAAAAACAATTCACTGGGATATTCCAAAGTGTTCATTATTCCTTCTCTATGATTATTTGTCTAGTTATAAGTTTAAGAAGACATGGTACTTGTAGTTTCTTCTTTGTACAGATTCCAGAATCCATCCATGTTCTATCGGAAAGAGGCTATTTTAAAGACTATTTGCTGGGCAAATGGTGTAATAGCCTTCACTGTTTAAAGACGTTTTGCTGGCATTTTCAGTTCTTGATACCAGCCTTCCTAAAGACTCTGTGACCATTTCGCAAAGAAATGGTTGAGGACCTTCAAGTACCCAGAAGTGTACTTCTGCTGTTTGATGAGGACCTCTTTTCGATTCGGATCCAGAAGACCGAAGGTTATAAATAAGTTTCTTCAGACAGAATCTGAAGGGGTCTGCTCTGGTGTGTCAGGCATGCCTCCAAATTAAGTCACTGAGAGTTGGGGTGGGGTGTATATCTACAACATGAATTACTTTAGGGTAGTTTTTAAACAGCCGTTGATGATGGGACAGTGCTTTTTACTTTACCATCTCCCAGTTCTTCCTGAAACATTTATTTTATATGTGAATGATTCTAGTAGCATTTGGGACAGTATTTGCAAAGAACCTCTGTTTCTTAGGAATAATTTGCCCTATGGAAATGCTTCTTTTTCCCCCAGCTTTACTGAGATACAGTTGACATATAATATTGTGTAAGTTCAAGATATACAACGTGAAGATTTGGAAAATGCTCCTTCCTTGCCTCCATAGGCTATAAATTGAACTCTCTGTTTCTCATATAGGGTTCTAGAGGCATGAAAGGAAAATTTCAGTGGCTACTTGGCAGACATCCACTACGTGGTCAGCCCATGCAGATGCAGAAATGGTGTCTTTTCATGAAAACCACCTGGAGATAACACTGATGGCTTCAGCTTACAGCATAGCCAGCATTAACTGAAAAAAATTAGAGGAACAGAAATCAAATAATGATTCTCGTATTTATCAAAATTAAATATAGGGCTTCCCTGGTGGTGCAGTGATTGAGCGTCCGCCTGCCGATGCAGGGGACAGGGAGTCATGGCCGCTGAGCCTGTGCGTCCGGAGCCTGTGCTCCGCAACGCGAGAGGCCACAACGGTGAGAGGCCCGCGTACCGCAAAAAAAAAAAAAATTAAATATAGTTTAATTGCTTAGTTTCAGCTTCAGTGTGAAATGTGTAATTTTTAGGTTCCAACTTCCGATTGACTTTTCTTTTTACTCTCAAACTCGTGTCTTTTGAGAAACATGCCTCTTGTTTTCTTCTCAACGGAAATAAATGACCTCTAGTGTCCATGCAACTCACAGACTTTTGAGACTCAGTCACAAGGAGAGACATAGCTCACCACTAACCTTAGACCAACCAGCAAAGAAAGGTCTGAGCCTGCTTGTCTTCACCGTGACCCTGGAGGCAGCCAGGGCTCCTGGGCGTGTGCTTGTGAGCCGCAGCGCTGTGCTTCTTAAGGCTTGGGAATGTTTTACATAAAAGCGTGCAATCATTTTGAGAGCATGAACACTATTTTGATTCGTTTTATTAAACAGTTACTATTTATGGATTTGAATGAAATTTTAATGATTTCGTTGAAAAATAATACGTATGCAAGATTTTTGAAATACAAGAATTTAAGGGGATATGTAAGTGTCTCTTGCACTAGCCCCCATCCTCTCCCTCTCCCCTTCTTCCCAGGCTTTGTCTACCTTTCTTAAACATCCTTATATACATGTATATAAGTTACCCATCAATCGGGAGCATACTGTATATGGCTCTGCAATGGACTATGTACTTTCACTTGGAAATTCTTTTCATATCAGTATATAAACACTAGCCCTTATTCCTTCTGAAGGTCGTGCCATAATTTTTTAACCATCTTCCTATTGCTGAACAGTTACTTTACAGTCTTTTCCCTTACAAGCAATGCCGCAATAAATATTCTTGTTCGAACATCTGTGCAAAAGGATCCAAGTATACGATACCTGAAGGACAGATTCTTAGAAGTGAAGCTGCTAGATAGACATCACCAACCGTCCTTCTAAGAGGATACACCAACTTGAGCCCGTATGCACAATGAATGCAAGAGAGCCTATTTCTCATACCTTCCCCACCCAGGCATTGTTAATCTCGTAGAACAAAATGGCATTTCACTGTTGTTTCAACATGCCTCCCTTTCACTGTGAGCAAACTAGGGAGCGTCTTTTCTTATACACGAGGCATACATTTAGTTTTCCGTAAGCCAGAGGAAAAATGTGCCCCTTGTGGGGGACCTTGGTTCATAAAATGTAGGTATGCCAGACGTACGTAGCTCTATGCCTTCTCTGTCCTGGCTCCTTTATCGGCTGGAATCTTTCCGCCTATGTTCTTTTCTGCATCTGCTCTCACACCCTGCCTCCCATCATACCCCTCGGCTCTCCTTCAGTCCCTCTCGCTTCACTGCCTCTCTGAAATGTCTAGAGTATCCGGCATGGGGGCTGGGAGGTGTTGGGCAGGGGGAACCGTGTGTCCCCAGGGAAGGAGTAGCTTCTAACTCGCCTGCTTTTAATGAGAAGAATCTTCTGATTTCCTTTGCAGGGAGGAAGGAAGAAGAGTAAATGAAGAGAAAGAACTTGAATAGCTCCTTCCAGAAGCAAAGGGGTAAGACTGGCCGAGAACTACCCGGTGCTCTAAAGGGGAGGGCCACGGGAAACAGATGCTCAGACATGGGTCACCTGTGGAGTGGAGTGGGGGTGACCGGGCACATGGTCCTCCAAGATGGTGGACTTGACACGGGTCAGGAGAGAGTCAGCCTCCTGCCGGCCCTCGCCCATGCTTGGTGCTGGGGCACTTTGCGAGCTACAGGGGGAGACCCAGGGCCAACTCTGAAGCAATGCGGTTCCCTCCCACCGGCCTCCTCTGGTCCTTTGTGTCTCCCTAGGAAGCCAGCTTGGCTGCACACCTCAGTCTTACGAAGCAGCAGCCCCACCTGGGAGCAGGGTGGTGGCCAGAGCAATGGTGGGAGCCCTGAAGATGCCTCATGGCTGCTGAGCGGGCTGCCCCGTCAGGGAGCAGGGTGGCGGGCATGGTGTGTGGCCTGTGGGTCCTGGTGCTGGTATCCTCAGTCCTGGCTCTGGAAGGTAAGGGGGGGGGGGGGGG